TATTAAGTACTGGCAACTCATCAACTTTGACTCTTATAACATTACACATAGAAAAAGAATAAATACAATTTGTGTTATAAAACAATACTTTCAAACGTGTGCTGTACCTTAATGACATGCTCAAAGGCCAGGGCAAGATTTAGCATCATAGGTCTCTGAGAGGGAATCATCTGCTGGTCAATGGTGTTGTAGAAATGAGCAACCTATGAAAACAGTAATACGTAACAATACGAGCATGAAAAAAGCAATAGATATACATACAGATATACACAGATACACCCTGGCTACTACATTAGGAATACATGCTCAACTGCTCTTTAACAAAAATATCTAATCAGCCAATCACATGGCACCACCAAGTCTGAATCTGAGCGTTTCAGAAACTGCTGATCTGCTGGGATTTTCCTTCACAACCATCTCTAGGGTTTACAGAGACTGGTCTAAAAAAAGAGAAAACACCAGCAAGAAAACTAAAAAGGCCTTGTTGATGATAGCGGTCAGAGGAGAATGGTCAGACTAATTCCGGAAGGCAACAGGAACTCAAATAACTATTTGTTACCACCAAGGTATGCAGAAGAGTATCTCTGAACACAAATCACACCAAACCTTGTTGCTATATTGGGCTTTACTAACAGAAGAGCATTCTGCATGCCATTCCTGTCAGGTAGTAGCAGGAAATTGAAACTAAAATTCTCATGGGTTCAACAAGACTGGACAATAGAAGATTAGAAAAAGCATTCCCAGGTCTGATGAATCTCAATTTCTGCTGCAACATCCAGATGACAGAGTCAGTATTTGGTGTAAACAACATGAAAACATGGCTCTATCCTGCTTTATATCAGTGGTTCAGGCCGGTGGTGCTGGTGTAGTGGTGTGATGGTCCGAAGGATATGTTCTTGCCACACTTAGGCCCCATATTAAATACTGATCATCATTTAAATGGTTCTGCCAGAGGTTTTCCCCTATTAAAAGGGAATTCTTCCTTCCCACTGTCACCAAAGTGCTTGCTCATTTGGGGTCACCTGACCTGATTGTTGTGGGGGAAGGGGGTTGTACTTTACAACATAAAGTGCCTTGAGGCAACTGCTGTTGTGATTTGGCACTTTATAAACTGTACTCAAATGGCCTCCACAATTACCAGATCTCAATCCAACAGAGCACCTTTTTGGGGCAATGGGCAAACTCAGGATGTAACTCAGGACTTCCTACGCATAACAACTGAAGTGGCAACTGAATGTATATAAATAAATTAGGAAAGAAAAAATATTGCATGTCTTAGCTTCCGCTCTCACCTGTTTTAGGACAATGGCTTGTCTGTAGAATTTATCTGCAGTATTAGCAGCCAGTTGTATCTTGGCTGGGATGGAAAAGCCCAGGGCAGAGAGCTGCCTGACCTCCCTGAGCAGACTGACTAGTCTGTCTGAGTACTGAATCTTGAGTCTGCCATCATCATGGTCCAGCTCCATCACACGGTTACTGGCCTGAAGACTATACAGGGTGTGAGAATAGAGAAGTGCAAAATGTGACATCCATTCAAGCCAATATTCATTCCACTCTGGGTATTTTAAATGATTAAATAAAAAATACAAAAAAGCAGCATACAATTGCAAAAGGATTTAATAACACTGTAGAATTGCATGCCTCTTTCAAACTTGTATATTAATGACCAACATATTCTTCTGTGATGCTTCAATTGAAGATTTTCATTTCTAGGATTTTGTAACCTAAGGTCGAAATATTACAGACCTGATCCCTGACTTTGGGTCAGTCAGCTCAGAAAGTATATCTCTTGACCAGTCCTCAAACTGCTCTTGTTCATAGGCCCTCAGAATCTCCAGCAGGTCATCACAGAAATGCAGGAACCCTTTGAGCCCAGAGAGATCTGAAAGCAGAGCCTCAGCTATGCGGACAGAGTCTTCCACCTATTGTAAGAATGAAAGACATGAAAATAAAATACATTTTCTTTTGACTGTCATAGAAATTATTTTGTATTTGACATATTAGAAACAAAAAAACCTGCAAATGTAACAGTTGTTTTATAGCACTGTACAAAAGTCTTGAGCACTCTACATTTATTTATATCTTGCTTTCAAGAATGAGACTGTCTCAAAACTTTTTAAAGTGGTCTTGAGCAATTGTTCTTCAGGCTTTCTGAATTTTTTCCAAAGTTTTTCTTTAAACATTAGCTGCTTTTTCACTCATTTTCAGTCCACTCCTTGTACCTGACCATTTTCAAAGTTTCTTTTTATGTTTTTAAGCTCCTAACACTGACCTATGACTTATTCCAGCATAAAAAAGGCACCTAACTAAATATATAAGCCAGCATTGTGTCTACATATGGGAGAAAACTTTATTTGCTATCTTTGGGCATTTTGAGGAAACTGGGCAATTTGAGGACTTGAATATTTTAGGAAATTCAAGAAGTTGAGGCCTAAAATTATCTACAGCACATCAACAGTATCTGAAAGTCTTGTCTTTAACAAATATGAAAAAATCCAGCAAAGAGCTGACACAGGAACTGAGATATGCATCTGGACTATCAAATGACCCAAATAACTTCTGAAGGCTCATCAGAAACGGTTTCAGTGAAAGGGTGGCTGTCAAAGGCCATTCTTAAGGAAGGGGAACAGGAAGAAACAGCCGAAATATGCCTCATTACACAAAATTAGACTGAAAATCAGAGGCAGGTCTTATGGAGCAATTAATCCAAATTTGAAAATGCTGCTTCACATTGCTTTTCATTGTCATCAGTATGTAAGGAGGAGGCCAGGAGGTAGATACAGCAGTAAGTGTCTACAGTAATCTGTAAAAAAACAGTGGAGGCAGCATTTCATCCAGCGAGGTTGAAAATATTGATTGAACTATGAATGCAGAAAAGTAAATGACCAAGAAATTGTTCATCATTAAAGCAAAAGTAAGTGGTGCATCACCAGCTTAAACACAGTACCTCATGTAAATCTTACATTTTGTTGGCATTTACAGTGTAGGGCCATAAAAGTTCCAGTAGCAATAATTTTTGACATTAATGTCGTGTCATAACAATAAAGTTGACCGAGAGGTTTTTTTAATGTCAGGTAAATCTATGAGTTGCCACTGACAGCCTGGGTTGCTGTGGAGAAGCCTGGGTTTGGTGCTATTTGGCCAGTAAGGCAGGGTTAGGAGAGGTGTGCTCGCATGTTGGTGCCATACTCTACATCGCCATTCTGGCAGCTGTAAATAAACCAGTCACCTTGTGTAGGAGCTGCCGCACCCAAACTATTTTGTTGACCACCTCAGAGAGGTTTCGGCCAATAAGAGGGCCAGACTTGTCACCAGGACTTCCATGGCAGCGAATCTCAAAGTCAGTTTTCAGACCTGAGAAAACCAACAGAAAAGAGGGGGGGTCAGAAATCAGAAGTGACAATTTATTACCACCTAGTTTCCCAAAAGAGAGAAGACATATTAGACATATTTTTTTAACATATAACACTGAACTAATACCAGCATTCCTAGACACTTACCATACTGCTCTCAGGACATTCACTCTAACATCTATAGAATTTTATTGCCCTATTCAACCAAAATCATTTCTAAATTTATTTCTCCCAGCCTTACACAATAAAATCACCTGGTATGGACAATAACAATTTTAAAACAACGTTAATTCGGCATTCACTGTCACATGAAGAGGTGTCACATTCAAGGTGTTTGTATTATCCTCCAGTGTTTAGACAAATCACTGTAAAGTCAAAAACCGAGAAATAAATATATATATATATATATATATACACACACATATATATATACACACACACATATATATAT